ATAAAATTATAGTTTCTATCCATTCTTGACACATTTCCTCCACCTCTGAAAGCGGGCCCCTCGCTTTATGAAAACCTAGGAATCTTAAAATCCCCATTCATACCTAGAAGTGGAAGATAAAAAAACTTATAGTTTCTATCCATTCTTGACAATATATTGTGGTCAGTTTTTCCTACTGTGATTTGTACTAAAAATGACCATTTATGTTTTATCCTCATTGAGAATGAGCTAATTTTGTTCGAACAAGTGTCTTGCCTTTGTGTAGATGTTTGTCGCTTCACTTGAAAGATTTTGTTCATTTTCTGCTCCCACAGCCTAATTTGTATCATCCGCAAATATAGTATAGTAATGAAATTGGTCCCGCTATACCTACTTCCTTGTGGTATTCCTCAGCTAAGCAATATCAGATCCCTCAACATTTTTTATCAAGGTATTCTTGCTTGATATGGATCAACATAAGCGATTGCCTGGAAAATCGAATCAACTGACAAAGGAACACCAAAATAACTGCATCCACCTAAAATCGAGACCACAGCGAGAGAGTACTTGGTGTGAGCTTTGTGGAAAACACGGTCACGAAATATTCTAAACTGTTGTTTTGAATTCAGATTTAGATTTCATTTTCTGTTCCTTCATCAGTTCACACGACTTTCCTAGAGAACGATTAGTTTAACCGATATCAAGCATCAATACCTTTTTGATATAACAATTTTTCGGAGCATCTGGACCAAAATATAATAGGATAGGCTAACGATGTATTTTGTACCGCTAATTCAAAATATTTCTCTTCCCACTCAAAAATCTCACCGGAAATACATTAATTTTGAAAAAAACGCATGTTTTTTGGAAGTATCCATCTTTTTTCAAATTTGGAAGTATATAATGAACATAAAATGTTGTTTTCTCATATAATTAAACGCATGAACGCGCTAGTGCGTCGTCAAAGTTGCGCTCTGAGATGCAAGAATCTCTGGCAACGGACATTGACAACCCTGGTCGCCGCTGTGAAACCGCGATAGAGACTACACCTTTTCCAGTTGTATTTCAGAAAGCGACATTTGTATTCAAGAATAGCCATTCAATTGAATTTCAGAGAGTAGTCAATTGAATTTCAGAGGATAGTCAATTGAATTTCAGAAAGCGTTAATTGAATTTCAGAATAGTCGCTTATATTTCAGAAAGCGTTAATTGTATTTCAGAAAATATCCATTGAAATCCAAATGACAGTTTCTTAAATACAATTGACGCTTTCTGGGATAAAGTTGACGCTTTTTGAAATTTAATTGATTATTCTGAAAATAGAATTGACGCTTTCTGAAATACAAGTGACTATTCTGATATACAATCGACGCCTTCTGAAATACAATTGATTATTCTGAAATTCAATTGATGTTTTCTCAAATAAAAATGATTATTCTGAGATACAATTGACGCTTTCTGAAATTTAATTGACGCTTTCTGAAATTTAATTGACGCTTTCTGAAATTTAATTGACGCTTTCTGAAATTTAATTGACGCTTCCTGAAATACAACTGGAAAAGGTGTAGTGATGAAGATTCAAAAATGCCTCATTTGCATCAATGTCAAAAGTTTATGGCAACATAAAAATTGGTAATTGCCTTGTAGCAGTCTTTTGTGATTTTTTTCCAAAGCATTCAACTCCGTGAATCACGGCGGAATACAACTGCAAAAGCTCCAACAAATATGAGATTTATCAAGAGGAACGAAATCAGATAGACCGCGGTAGTGGACTAGGGTGTTTAATTGAATATGCAGTGTCACAATGTTCTGTACTGTGGTCAATTCATCATCTATATCGCCGATTTCAAGAATCTGAAATAAATTGAATCGATGGTGTGATTCTACCTTCTTGAAAACATAATAACGTTTCGCCGTTTTCGCCTTGCCAGATCAATGAAATATGTTCAAATTATATACATAACAGAAGAAGTTATTTGGATATAAGATATTGATAACAAAATGAAATTTGAAAATCAAATAATAAACTTGAATCTGGCTGTTACGCAATACGAATTATATCGAACAAGTTAGGTCATTCAGGTGCAAGGACCTGCATATTTCGCTTTGATTGAAGCTCACCTGAGGCTGAGATATTGAGTGAGACATTGCAACTTCAAATTTCGAATGTGCTAATCATTTTCAGTTTCAGTTTCAAGTGGTTTGAGAATTTTTTCATCTTTTTTTTTTTGTTAATTGTTTTTAGCTTTTCTGGCTCACCCTAATTTTATAGTGACTCATTATTGGTTCTGGCGCAATTTCTCATTAAATTTCCGATGAAAATGTTGGTGGGAAGTTAAAAAAAGGAATCAGCCACCCAAAAAACATAAGATAAGATTATAAAACTGAGCCCGATTTTTTCTCTATCTATTGCGATATACTCCATACCGCCTAAAAGTTTGAGGCGTCAACGTGATAGGGCTAGAGGTGTGAACAACATAAGGGCAAGTTAGTCTCATACCAACTACAATTCTCTAAATATGAAACTGACCACTCATTGTTTGACCTTCTTTCAACATCCTGATTTTTTTAAGGAATCGGACGATTCACTAGCAGTTTTCGGTATTGAGTGTAGTGTTTCATCATAGTTGAATATACACAAGGTGTAAATTTCGAAATCGTCCCGAGATGAAGCTTTTAATGAATTCAATGGACATATTTTTTTTTCAAAAATACTTTTCCGGGGGGGCCAGACAGAATTCCAAAAATTGACCACTGGTTCAAGTTTACACCCTGTGTATGATTCAATGTGCTGATTGTCTTTATCGTAGCTATAATTGAAATTGATGAAACACAAAATTCAATTCCGAAAACTGCAAATGAATCGTTCGACAGGATGTTAAAGAAGGGTCACATCAAGAGTGGTCCGTTTAAAATGTAGTCCCGTTTCCATGTGACCACATTCCATTCGAATGAGGGCTAACATTATTCATTATTTATTGTACACCAGATCGCCCTACTGAAACGTGAGGTCAGAATTGCTAGAACTGATGAATATGCTCCTTCCTTTTCATGTCAATTGGCTGCTCAAGTGTTTTGTTCAAATATTCTACATCATTGTTTCCGAATATTTGCGATAAAACAGGCCACAACCCTTAGGATTTTAGGATTTCTGACATTGACCTCACGATTTAGTAACGCCAATTGGTGAGACTGAAAATGTTAACACTCATTGAAATGGCCGTTGACAAGTATCAAGTAGGTATCAGATGTTTCCCTTGTCCGATCTCTACTAACTTAGAACCTTATAGAACACCATTCATAATTACAGTGTAGGTTTTAGATGATACCCTTCTCCGAAAGGTACCGACTTAGGACCGACCTTATGGGACACCATCTATAATTACATGAACAGGGTGAGCCAAATGTGCACTTTTGAAGAAATCCTATTCTCGAACTAGATAGAAGAATACTGGTTCCTGAGGGTGGGTCTATTCTCATGAAAATTTCAATAGGGTGTAAAACGCATATCGATATATAACTTCATTAACTTCATTTCCGAGTTATAAGGTGATTTTCGAAAATGAGCAGTAACGAAAGCAGTAACGAGATGTGCATAAAAATAATCTTTTTGGCAAACATTTTGTTCTCATGAACAGATTTGCAAAGCTTTGTGGTAAAAATTGATCCTCAGGCATTGAAATCAGTCTTCCTATATCTAGTTCAAAAATATAACATGTTCTTCAAGGAATGGTTTTATATTCAACGTAGATATTATACGATGACTGATTTCAGTATACCTGAGGATCCATTTTCATGACAAACACAATGCTTTGGAAAAGTTTTCATACAAACAAAAATGTTAGTTGAAAAATGCGTTTCAGTCACTTTATAAAAACATGCACATTTCCGGAAAACACCTTGTAAAAACAAAGATAGATATCGATATGCGTTTTTCACTATTGAGTTTTTCCCTTCAATCGTGTCCGTCATAAGAGAACAAAACATCAAGACTTTCGAAAAAACCAGAGGTCTACACGAGAATCGGCTTCCTTGAAATGCAGTTGGTTATGGCCCAAGTGATCAATCAAAGTTCGAAAGACCGAGATTGCGTCCATAAAATAGAGATTATATCAACATTATGACCAAATTTACTATTTTCAAGGTTTTGATATTCATTTGTAATTTATTTCTTGCAGACACGTACAAGACGTCACTTCTCAGCGGATGGATGTATTAGGCCTATTCAATCAATTCAATGGATTTTTCTACATGGAACAAATTTCGGGATGTAATTTCATGATAGACAAGGACTCCTTGTCTAAAGAATGCATTTTTTTCCTCTTTTAACGTATGAACATAGAAATATCTAGTGAGGCACTAATCCTTTCAGATAAAAATGGAGACTACCCTTCCCAAACATTCTAACCTGAGTCGGACTAAGATAACTTTCTTCCTAGAAAGTATATTTTTCGGAAAATTACTTGAGAAAAAGAATTGAAAATTATGAAAAAGTTGACTGTGCCGAGGTAGGACCCGGGTCGCCGGGGTGGCAGTCCGATTCACAGTTCGCTATGGCATTAAGCGCTTACTTCTAATTTTTCTATGAAGAGAGAAGTGCATCTATATAGTTGTAAGTGACGTCATCTACGTGAACGGATGAAATATTTTGCGTGCCTATAGTCACTGGGTTATTTTTCTCCATTCTTATATTTCTTTTCAATCATTATCACCGATATCATCTCAGAATGAAACTCTGAGATTTGGGACAAGAGGGATGTTTGCAACAAACGATAATACTTACCTTTTTTCATTTTGTTTCATAGGGAATCTTGTCTGAATTTAATAAAAGAAAGGCCCACCGATATCAGTTTTTCTTCATCTAGTTCGAGAATAGGACTTTCTCTAACTGTTCATTTTGGCTCACCTTGTACAAGTGCACATACTCCAAAAGATCACTCAAAAGCATTCAAGAGTACTCGAATACATAGAAATACCACCTATTTCCGAAGATTATTTCTCAATCGAGAAATAATACTCACCCTTCAGCGACAGTCTCATACACTTTCTTCAAAGAAGCATTTGCCAATGAATCCGACCTGACAGCATATTTTAGTTCCTTGACGAATTCCTCTTTCTCCTCTGCATTCACATCTGGAGGGTGATTATGCGGGCTCCTCATTATCAAATCGCCTATATCACCTCCCACAGGCATTGTCGCTCTCCCGCGACAACCAGATTTTTTATGTTCCGAGCATCCTAAGTATCTAAGGATTGTTTGAGTGGTAGTAAGAATGGTCTCTCAGTATGGATATTTGGTTATCGCACTTGGTTCAATTCGAATTAGTCGATTACGCACGTGTTAGGTACACTACTTTTTCTAATAACGTGCGGAAGAAACCCAAAAGTTTTCATAAAGAAACATTTTTTATTATTATCATTATTTATTATTATTAAATATTCAAATATCAGTATACACCCCAAAAACTTGGCAATGTACAGAGCGAAAAGAAGTTTTTTTGCCCCTCTCTGTTTCTCAACTATTAGTCGTGCGATTCATGCCAAATTCAGACCAGCATGAATAACCATCAATATGATCAGTGTTTCAGAGACGAACATCCTTTTGGACAGTGCCGTAGGTTAGTATTAAAATTAGAAGGGGACGGTTTTGTATGAAATCAAATATTTTTTTTTGCAAGAAAACCAACTTCGTATTATTGTTCCTCATGCTTTCCAACCACTGACTCACAAAAGTTGTGTAATCAAATTAACTACTAATTTTGGAACTTAGAAACCTTTTTTTTTTGTTGTTGTTGAACATACTGATTCCGAATAAAAATAATTTGACGTTCGCAAAAATGCTGTTTAGATATATGAAAATTCACATATGGGACTTTGAAACCATGAAGACCAATATTATGAGGTCAGTTTTACTTACTGTAAAAAAAAGTTCCTAATATGATTTAATAAAAACTGACCCCTTTGATCTCTGAAAAAATGATATTGATAGTTATTCATGTTAGTTCAAATCTAGTGAGAATCGCAAAACTAATAGCTGAGATAGAGGGGGAGGGACGTTCAAAGTGAAACATGCTGTATAATGCTCAAATTTGGAACACCCTGTATGGTGAAGACAAAAAAAAATTAGAAGCTTGAACGTTGAACTAAAAAAATATACTCCTGTTAATTGTCGATGAAATATATCTGTACCTAACATAAAATAGGTATTTATTTGTTTTGTATCAAAGTAACGTTCCCCAACAAAGATATATTTCTTTGATGCCGATAAATGAGAATCAATAGTTTAATATCCTTTTTATTGATTATTATATCGACATTCCGTCGGCTTAGTATCAACAAGTTTAAATAATGTACACAAATGACAAAATTGATCGTACATGACCCCTATCAAGAATCAATTTGTCTATTAGTGAACTATTATGGTATAGGTAACCAAACACACCGTTTCGTTTACTGTTGGGATTTCAACTTACGGAACCTGCATTTCAATAAAAAATATGGATGAAATTACTATCTGTACGTTAACGAGTTAGCTTTTCAACATTTCTGAACCGAATTAATCTCTGAGTAGGTACCTCATATCAAAGTTTCATCAAATTATACTGATAACCTCAAGAACTATTCAATAAAAACCGATTTCCAGCAGCGTCCTTTAGGGGCCGATTTCTCCGTAAGGTACTTATAGGAACTTGTCATCTTATTTCTTCAGGTTCTATCTGATTCCAAGAGATCTCACAAATTATTACTATAGGATAAGGGGAACCAATTTGTTATTTTGTCGCTGCAAAAATCATTAAATGATTTTAACAAAAGAACATTATTTGTTTTAATCAGAAGCATTTTAGAATTTCATTCACTTTTCGTACCAAAACCAATGTGTGAAAACCAAATATCCAGCTTGCAGCTGAAAGATCAATATTTACCGTAGAGGTGGAGTACCAGCAACTACGTTATTATGATAAACGAATCCTTGGGACACGAATCTTGTACGTGAAGATATTCGTTTTTTGCGTGGCTGTTTTTCTGTCTTCCAGTCAAAATCTGACAAAGAAATAATCTCTTACTATCCCATTATTTTTGTTCAAGCTAAATAATATCTGCACCACGAATAATGAATTAAAAGTCGAATAATCTAATAATCATTTATTTTCTCCTTGGTGGCTACAATGGAATAGAAGCTTGAAGTGAAGTTATTTCTGACCATGCCCCATTAGATATCTTGTTCCGTTTTCCATGCTGTGGTTCGCCATCGTCTCATGGATGATCTGATGCTATCATAAGGGCACAGCAATGCGCCTTCAGGATACCTAACGAAGTATGCATCTATTTCTAAAGTTCTTTAAATGACCAGGTCAATTTTCTAAATGTTATCTCTTATGAAAGACTATACAGGGTATGTCACGACGAGCTTACACTATCTCTATATCGAGAATCAGTCGGGAGAAATACATAAAAATATGCATGCTTATATTTTACAATATGCTCTCTTCATTCAAAATAATTTTAGCAATACAGTGTTGCCGCATCTATCGAAAAGTAGTAACAACTTTGTTATTTCATAGAGAATACCCTGTATCTTATTGCATATTTAGATTCTCCCTGAAGAGCTGCTTTCATCGATAAATCAAACTTGGGGTCTATCGGAAATGATTACAGAAATATAGGGTGTTCAAAATCGAGATTTCTAAACTTTAGGATTTGATTTTGTCGAAACTATTAATTATCGGCCAAAACGGCTCACATGTCCCTATCTCAACTCTTGAATTACTATTTCCTGATATTTAATCGGAACAGATACAGGGTGATCAGAATTCTGAATCTTGAACCATCCTTTATCTGTTCCGATTAAATATCAGTAAATAGTTAATCAAAAGTTGAGATAGGGACATGTGAGCTGTTTCGACCGATAATGAATAGTTTTGACAAAAAAAATCCCAAAGTTGAAAAATCTCGATTTTGAACACCCTATATCCCTGTAATCTTTATCGATAGACCCCAAGTGAAATATATCGATAAAATGCGATAAAATACAGGGTGTCCCATTTGAAATATCAATGTTGATACTACTTTCTAGTAGAAGCGGCAACACTGCATTGTCGAAAATTTCAAATGAAGAGAGCGTATTCTAAAATATAAGCATGCACATTTTCATGGATTTCTCCCGACTTATTCTCGATATAAAGATAGTGTAAGCTCGTCGTGACATACTCTGTATATAGTAACTAGAATCAGAATGAGCTGATATTATTCCCAATGTGCACAGTAAATTCCAGAAATAAACAAGCCTTATGTGTCTCACTCAAAGTGGCGACAATTCATCATAATTATTAGTCGGCTGACTTTCGAAAACTTGTATAAACATAGCAGCTTGAGAAGCTTCACATTCTAAAAAATTGTTCTAAATTTGTTCTATCCGTCATTCGCTTACCCTCAGAAGTCTGATATGCTTCATTTCATTTTTCGCCTTATCTATAATAGCCTACTACGATAACAAATAAGAGCCCCAAAAATGCCGGAAACTGGCAAATATATCAAATATATCTTTATCAATTTTGGACCATCTGGAACCACAAATCCAAAAGAAATGGTAATTCATAACGAGTTTTTGTAAACAACAAATCAAAAGTTTAGTGCCTTGCCATAACGCTAGTCACCTAGTGTTTCAATTCACTCAATACTATCCACATATTATTTCAATTTTGCACTCAAGTATTGAACACACGGTATAAGTTACGATATCGTAACTTGGGCTTCGTGGGTTCCAGATGTGCCCAAATCGAGAGAGACGTTTTTTTTTTTTGAAAAAAATGGGTAATATGCTTTTGTCATTTTTCGAGTAATTGTTATCGTTGTTATGAAAAAGACGAATCTCAAAAATAACGGATATCAGGATGTAGGTATAGCTTTCGGAGTAATAACATATTGGGAAAAAAACTTCGAAAATCGGCCGACCCGTGAGTAGATATATACAAGGTATCGAAGGAATATGGAACAAATTCATTATCACCCAAACCAAAAATATTCTGATAATCGGTACACGTCAATTCAATTTTTCAAATCCAAATATTACTATCATGACCTAAATATACGAATAACGCTAATTCGGGTGAAATTATCATCAGTTATTACATTTAAATATCGCCCAGCATATCATTACATATTTGGTTGGTGGTTGTGGAGTAGCAAAAATATCTGTAAAATAATTTCCTAATTTTAAGAACCCTCGTGTAGTAAGTATTCAAAAGTTTATCGTGTTTTATTTTGATGCTACTTATGCAGACTGATGACAGATACTATCAAATCAATGGAAAACACAACCAGTTACCTCAACTTATTGACGCGGCAAGAATGTAAGTAGATTATTCCCACTATATGATATTTTGATAGGCTAAGACGTGCATATGAAGGTCTGAAATAGAAAGTTCCTATTGGTTGTCAGAAATGTTGAAAATTTATTACAAGAACGAGAAGATGACTTGGAAAAATTAAACCGACGGATTCCAGTGTTTTCGAAATATTTTTGGTTGAGAAATACTTTGTTCCATATTTTATCTATAAACAACATTGCCTCAACTTAATCTATGCTATAACCTATCTGTATCCATCTACATTAGATCGAAAGAAATTACACCTCCAAAAATGAAATATCAGTTGAATGTGATACCAATATAACATTGACAAACTATAAACTCTAGAGCATCAACGAAATATAGAGCAATAATTAAATATGGATTCAAATATAAATTTGGAGCATTATCAAAATATAGAAATATAAATAAAAATGTTAAATAAATAATTCAAGTCGATTCAAAACATGTTCTTATGCTATGTAAGGTTGTTTCACTTTGATTTTATACGGCCACCCTCGGATTAAATTTTTAGTGACAAATTGTTAGACGTAATCAATTCTTTTTTTTTTCTTTTCTTGGTACTCTATTCTGCTAATTTGAATGGCGCCTCAGCGTGTTCAAATCCCACTTTCAAAAACGTGCGTTTAGTTACCATGGCAACATCAACGACCCGACCAATGTGAATAGCCATTTATACTTCAATGTACTATGTTCTAAACTACCCACAAGATTATAATATTGAGTGTCAAATTCGTCAAAGAATTCAACAATTTAATAATAATAATAATAATAATTAATAATGAAAAAGTATCTTCGTTTGAAATATTTCGATATTTCTTCTTCTTCCAATCACGGTACAGTTGGCAATATTCCTTCCATCAACGTACCACGTTCTTCAATGCTGTAACAAAAATGCCCCAGGAATGTTGTAAAATAAGAATGTTTCTGAATTCCACTGATTGTGATTCCTTGAAAATATCTGAGTCAACTGCCATAAGAACCAGACGAATCGTCAACACTGAACGTTTGGTATTTCAAGACTTGCTGTTTTTAACCGTTCTAATGAAATTTTTTCAAATTGTTCACAAGTAATAAGGAATCACCAGTTTTGAAGCTTCAAGTTTGAAAATTCAACTACCTATGGTTAACTTATTTCTGATCAGAATAGAATATTTATATTTGTTTTCAGCAGTGTATTTCTTAACGAAGTATTATGATTCAGTGGTCATCATTTCATGGAATAAAGCGTCGCGGCAAATGAACATTATTTAGTTCGCAAAGTGGGTCTTTCTTAAAACATGTTTCCAATCGAAATGTTACTTCCATAATAGGAAATTATATATTCGTAATAATCAGTTATCCGATCAAAGTGAAACATACTGGTATACATACAAATTATAATCCATCAATTTGATCTAATCAATCAATGTCTCAAAAAAATTGTTTTTTTTTCTGTGACGGGAAAAAGTTTGAAATGTCATCTCTTGTTGTTAGGTTATCACTTTTTTTCCACGGAAAAAAAGTGACTATTTTTTTCCCGTGTTGATGGCTCTTGTTATGATACTAGTTCCGAAAAATAAGCCAATAACTCCTTTTACCTTCCATTCGACGTTCCGGTTACGTAAGTTACTAAACAACCATCAAATTCGCAATTTTTTCAAATCAGATCACAGAATTAGACAAACAGATATTTGATTACTTCAGAATGATAAAGATTCCTGTACCGCAGGTATCATTCCTGTTAAAAATTTCATGTCGATAATTTTTTGATATTAATATAGTTTAATATCTTCTCAATACTGATTCGTCTTTTTTCCTGTCACAGAAAAAAATAGTGAATTTATACACAGGAAAAATATTAGATTTTAGCTCGAGGTTGTGTCGTCTCCCGACGAGTAGCGGAGGAAGACAAAATACCGTGAGCTAGAATCTAATTCTAATATTTTCCCCTTGTATAATAAATAACGTTTTTCTAATTTTTTACATTCAATGACCCAGTGGTTACAAAATGGAAAATCACATAAATTATGCTTTAAGCTTATTAGGCGTAGGAATTATTCATCAACCAGCTTATAAATATACTACTATACTTTTCTTTCATTCAGTTTTCATCAGGCTCATAACAAGTTCGGATATTGAAGTATGAGTAAACAAAACGTCCCAAGATCATCAGTATAGTTTATAACCTAATTTATAATTCCTTCTCCCACTAATCACAAACAATAAATTGTCGATATGGGACACACATTTTCACATACTATAAACGAAGTTGATGTTCCAAACGGAGACTGACTCAAAAATTTCTAATACAACTGGAAACAGCAAAGTTAATACAGATTCATTAACATAGATGGAGATTATCCTGAGACACATAGGACATACAATAACAATAGTGATAATAAAACTTCGTTAGATGAACTGAATCAGGGTGATTCTATTCTTCTTCAGTTTCCAGCCAAAATCATAATAATTATAATTATTATACTTCCGTCCCTCTCCAAATTTAGCCTTTTCGAATTTGTAATGCCCTGACATAATACGGAATAATATACCGGATCCTATTCAACATTGAGATAGCAATAAGAAATTCTGAATATCATTTTCGATACCATTGCCGAAAGAAATGAAAAAGAAATATTTTGAGATATACAGTTGTATTAAAAAAAAAGCGTACAAAAACATCGGGAATGATTGTTTACCAAATGTTGACAGTAAAGTTGTCATAGGTTCTCAAAACACAATGCAGTGTACGCTTTTTTATTGAATACCACTGTACTAATGAATTCATACTGCTGATTAGTGAACTATCATAGAAAAAACGGTTCCGAGAACTATTCGTTTTTATTATAAAAACCCGAACAAAACATTGTCGGACCGATGTTAGTAGGACTTTTTTTTACTCTAGTGCTGTGACCAATTGAAGTCTGGGCGATTAGAAAAAATGAACCCTCCAGTCTCGCCCAGCTTACTTACGCTAGATACTTACGCTTCTGACATATCTTCATAAATATCTCTCAAAGGCCTCTGCGAAAAAGTGAAAATGGCACTTTTCACTTCTTTGAGAAATTCCTGTTTGGCGCTTGCGCGGAAACATGGCGGATGATTGTGTGCTTTGCGCACTACTATATCCTTAGGTGAACCACTTACTGGCATTACTGCGCGCGCTTTGCACGTCAATCTCTTATAATCCGCGCAAACTAAGTATCTAGAAAATCACAACCACTTGGTAACTTTTTGGGGTAGTGTAGTACGTTACGTTACCATTGAAAACAAAATTGTGTGCTCAGACACCATAGTTATCCACCCATTTAATGAATACCCACGATCGCCAATTTCCAGGAATAATGTGAATTTCTACGTTTGGCAGATTTCATCAACCAAAACCGTTTACTTGATATTGACATTCTGTATCTTTCTAATTTTGAAGCCACCCCTACATATTGACAGACTCATATAAAGAATAACCCGGAATGACATCATCAAGTGAAGGATTTTGCATGATAAACATTATTCAGTTGTAATTGGATGATGGTGGTGAAAATAATACTAAAAGTGAAGCCTGTAATCTTGTCAAGAAATCGACAAAAAAGAGCAAATTTTGCAATGATTCTCGAAATTTGATTTGATTTGAATTATTATGAATAATTATTATTTATTGAACCATTGCCCTTACCTCACTCCCGTATTTTGTTTAATGGTATTTTGATGATAAGTGAAACCATTAATGACAATTGCGTTTTTTGTGAAACATTTTCTCGTAACGCCAACTGATACTCCCCCTCGAAGGACCTCTAACCAAAAATTAACGTTAAAAAAAATACCGCACGATTATACGACACGTTAGAGACCTTCTAATGAAGTATATTGTAGTCAGTGTTTCGAAACTAGTAAATGAAATCCATTGTTTAATAGTTTGTAATAATACATGAACGAACCATAGAGAAAAAAGTAAATGGAATTCGATTGGCTTCCCACATAACTCAGAAGATTCAGATTATTTCCTGGAAAATCCAATTTTCTGAGAATAATTTGTGTTCAGAGACAATCAAAGCTATCAAACTTCAGTTTCGTTGAGACAATACCATAATATTTAGAATTTTAGTTCAGAGAATAATGGAAGTATTTTACATATCTAAAGAAAAGATGTAAAATACCTGAAAATATTCTTCTATATTCGTAATAAACAAAAAAACAACCCCACAAGAAAAAGTAGACTAGTGAAGCCATTTTTTCTTTTGAACGAATCGAAGAATTATCATCAAGAGCATTTTACGTTTTCAGAAGAAATGAACAATATTTTCCAATATTCTATAAACGTCGAGTAAAAAAAACAACATCACAAGAGTAAGTAAACGAGTGACGCTATTAATTTCTACTGATCGAAATATTATGGTCCGCCTCTAAAAACTATCTTATTCTCGAAATACCTGTTCAAAGTAAAAACAAGAATTCAGAGAAATAAGGAATCGAATTTAGTTTTTCATGAATGGAAAGTTCAACAATTATTATCAAACGACAAACAATGAATATCATGAGCTAGTCTGACATATTTCAATGAAAATATCATATTTTTCGATATTCAACGAACCCCTGGTTATTTGCTGCAATATAAACTCATTTATCAATTTATATGGCGTAATTATTCAAAAAACAAAAGAATACTAATCCATGTTTTCTTGCCCTACTAGGTCTGCTGAATGACTCGCAATTATGAGATCGATAAATAGGCATGTCATACCGAAAAAGTGGATAGTATATTCAATTCGGAAATTTATTCAATACCTCAACAAATTTTTGGTTACATAGAGTGTTACACTAGCGCAAATTTTCAATTTCTCACCCTTTCGATTGAACCATCAAGTGTATATTTACACTAAAGGTTGAAGTAGTCCTCCAATGTAAACATTACAAGTGAATACAGGATCAGTAAGAAATGATAAAAATTGATAATTCGCACTCTGTGCCAAACATTCCACGAGATATACAAAATGTTTGTAATCAGTGAGGAATTTGACAAATAACAGATTCGAAAATACGCTAATCACTTTTTAGGTTCTAGAAATGGCTAATAAAAGTAGATCTCTGTGAATTTTGATCCTTCAAGCGGACCATGTTCTATGACATGATGGTAAAATTATTAACTAATTGGGAAAGAAATGGCGATTATCACACACAGGGATATTATTTCACGCCCAGAAAGATGATACACGGAAGTATAGTGTATCTGATGAATATATTCCGAGCCCCTATGGGTCTCGACCCATCAGAAACCGTTACAAGAAATGATAACAGAAATGACTATCACAATCACATCTGGAAGTCGACAGATGTTTTTATTTTAAAAAATAAAAACACTGAAAGGCGCTAACTGCACCCATTCCCAGTTGTATTTCACAGGGCGTCAATTGTATTTCAGAAAAGTCACTTGTATTTCAGAAAGCGTCAATTGAATTTCAGAAAGCGTCAATCGTATTTCAGAATAGTCAATTCGATTTCAGAAATCGTAAATTGTATTTCAGAATGGTCAATTGAATTTCAGAAAGTACCATTTGTATTTCAGAAAATATCATTTGAAATTCAAATGGCGCTTTCTGAAATTCAATTGACTATTTTGAAATACAATTGACGCTTTATGGAATTGAAGTGACTATTCTGAAATACAATTTACGCTTTCTGAAACACATGTGACTATTTTGATACACAATTGACGGTTCCTGGAATTCAATTGAATATTCTGAAATACAATAATCGATGCTTTCTGAAATACAAGTGCTTATTCGGAAATACAATTGACGCTTTCTGAAATACAACTGGAAAAGGTGTAGTATTTCAAATTGTCAATTTTCAGATAATTGTCCCATATATATGTAGGGTGGACCGTTCGGGAGATATCCAGGTGCACTATTAATTTGTTTTTCAAATGAAACTCCCCCAAACATAGGAATGCTTCATGTAGCATACCCTCACATTTGAAAAAAGGTTCATGTATCCCAAGCGGGTTTTATACACGTCTGGCAAGAACAATTTCCTATAGTCAAACCAAGTGTCTGGGCATTATAACAAAGGGAGTAAGAGCAACGTTGCCATTCGCTTCGTATCGCGTCAACTCCTTCGAGCGAGTACATTTTTCGGCCCGATCGAAGGGTCATTTGCCAGGTGTGCCATTCTCAAGTAAGTGGGGCAACGACGCTTGTACAGGGTTTTTCTATAGGGAAATTATGTATGAAAATGTACAAGTTGAAGAATTAATTGATGTTTCAGCATTATTTTTACGAAAGTCTTCACCTGAATTTCAAATGAATTGATGCATGGACCTCAATGTATACGAATTACATAAATTCAGGAAATTTAGACATACATCAAGAAACAATGACAAGAAATCATCAATTGATGAGAATCTCGAGATGATTTTTATCAAAGTGATGAACAGTAAAAGTTCAAGGCAATAATAAAAATTACTCCTTCACCTGTTTGATGAAGAAGTAAAAACATCTCAACTACTTTCTGCATAATGTTGCATCAATTGAGTTTTCTAAAAATTCGGAAATATGTTCAACCCTGCAGAAATGTAGATCGATTTGCAATTTTTTTCGTTCACTGAGATAAAATATATCCCAATGAAAAAAATGTTTCAAGGTGAGCCAACATTCAATCCCTCAAATGATTTATGCAAAAATGATTAGAGGTATGATATAAGTAATTTCATTGAAACTTGGTAACGCGATAAATTCATGATTTCTTGTTCCAAATTCCTAAACTGAATACAATCTTACAATATGTAACATTGCAAATTGAACAATCACATCACTTATTTTTCTGTTTAATGTTCACATTTGATCACTGACAATAAATATGATCTGAGCACTGAGCACTGAAAGCAGTAGTTATCTTTGACACTGCATAGAATTCAGTAATTATTCACATGGCATTGAAATCAATGATGTGTCATGTTGAAAAAAATTATCAACTGGATCTTGTCAATTTTATAATGAACAAAGATAATGGATCGTGTCAGTTTATAATGAACGCTTTTGCATTCATTATGGTTTTGAGTCAAAAGTAATATCATAAGTAATAATATTACAGGCACAAGTCAACAGTAATATCAGAAGTCATAATATTACAGAAGGTACAGCTTGATCTTGTTTATCCTTACACAATTTTTATTTATTCTATTAAATGAACACTTTTGTGTCCATTATGGAATTGCAAGTTAAAAGTAATATCATAAATCTATAACATTACAAAAGTAGCTTGAATTGTTTACACAATAGTTATTACTTGAGAGTAATATCCCCAATTGAGTGATATTACAAAATGTGAAATAAGATTTTTGGTAATCCCAACTTTAGAATAACCAATTTTCATAATCACTTTTGGACTACAGTCCATCAGCTAATTTCAGCTGAAGAACTAAATCGTCTTTAAATAAGATTTGGTCAAATGATCAAATCAAAAATACAAATAAAGACCTTTACAATAATTATTGTAAACGTCAAAAAATCAGTAAAGGAACAACAATCTTAATGCTAATAAATCAAATGCCTACCATGTCGTAGAATCGCACAAACATACCAAAAACACATAAAAAAAATACTCAAAACCTCAAATAATCTTGCTTTGATCATTGTTATATTCAAGACCAAGTGAAGATCTATTCTGTGATTATTTGAGATTTTGAGAGGAATGGGGATTTGCATTGAAGATGTGGCCTAGCAGAGGTTATTTTATAAATTGTGATGCACTTAAAATCCTGAAACTTTTCTTCAAAATCTTGACGATTACAAAAAAATCATGTGATGGAGCTCGAAAGTGAGGCCATCAGCAGTACAATGGTAACAGAATCACTACTGCGATTATTATGATTTGATTTTACTATTAATTTTCAAGTACCATACCAATAATTCAAAATCAAATAGTTTCTCTGGCAGTTTCATCATAAAGAGTGTTGAATAAGTTGAATATACAAAAATCGATCTAGCCTTGCTTGGATGAAAAATAGCCTTTCACATAATTTGTACTAGTTCAACTCAACAATTACAAAAAATTAATATTTCTTCACTTGGTGCCTTTTCTACAGTGTAAAAATGTTGACGAGAACAGTAGTTGTTCATAGAAAAAAAGTATCCTTTATAATTTTTGGTTAATATTCTACAACTTCAGTGATAACAGTATTTCAGCAAAGTTGTAAAATGATAGGTGAGGAAAAGTATAAAGGTCAACTGTCTCTTATGAACAAAATTTCTAGGTAACATTACTATACAGAGTGTATGGAAAGTCTCATTATGGATCAATAGCTTCATAACCATCAAGAGTCAACTGAGGAAAATTATGGTAATCTCGCACAAATAAAAAAATTCACAACATTAGAAGTGAATATTTTGGTATGCAAAAGTTCCACAATATTCTGTTTTGTGACTTAGATAGTCACAAAAATGTTGATTTTTAACAAACCATTCCAGAAACCCTGTATATCAAAAACATATTGATAGATAAGGAACTTTGGCAACGGAAATATATTTTTTGTCATTATCATGACCTAGGATCCAATTTTGCTATCTCTAGTAGCTGGAGGTGAGCCTGACTATAAATAAAATTAAATTCACGTGCTACTGAAAATAGTAAAATAAGGCAGCTGATCAATTTGTAGTAACAACAAAAATTATGTAAAAATTACTCTTTATTCAAGCAAAGTCTACCATTTTTTGTATTTCAAACTCATTCCTGCTTCATCTGGAGACAAAAAATGATACAAATATTGAAAGAAACTCTTGAGATCATACAACACTTGAACAAGAGAACACCAAAGTAAATGTTTCTTGGACTAGTTATCTTTTCATTGCACATCATTTCATTCCAATACTTGTATTGCCTCAATCATCATTTCCGTATTTCAATTAGATTCCCTATGCAAGGTGCTAAAATAGTTATCAAGCAGGTCAAGAAACAATCATAATGTCCTTAATTAACAACACACGCCCCCTGAAACGATCAACACCAACTACTATGTGAAAATCTCGACCTGCTTCGCCAATTTTTCATATTCAGCCACACCTTCCGATTCATAATCATCCCCATTCCTTTGTAACCAAAAAAACCACCTACCTTGTCCTTCGCCTGCACCATCAGCACTGGTTCCTGCCTGTGGTTCTTCTTCGCCGGTCATGCTGCTTTCCATCATAGAGTAATCTTCATTATCGTCATTAGCCGTGTCGTCTAAGTTATCGTCGCCGAAATTATCGTCACCAGTGTCATCGATCAAATTTGTGCTCTGAAAATAAATGTTCAAAAATTTACAAATTCATGCAATATTATCGATGACGAATTTTTTTTATAAACAGTGTATATACAGTGCAGAAACAAAGGACTGTTTGAAATACAAGGTATTTTCTCCAATAGCAATATTCCCAATATCCTGTCAAAATTCTACTATACTTCCATGTACAGGGTGTTCCAAATTCCAGGGGTATCATTGGGAACTCGTAAGCCATAAGAGATAAAAAGTTAGTAAAATTAGGGCCGTCACGCGATTTGATGCTGATCAAAATGCCGCCAACAAAGTTTGGGAAATTGAGAATACTTCCGAAGATAATTGAAATAAACGAATATCCGCGATTTAGTTTCTTTTTTAATGGTATGACAAAATGAGTAAGTATATACCAATATCTGTAGATCGGCCATAAGGACTTTTTGAAAAATTGAATCACAAATACTGCATAGAAAAGAAGTTTATTATTATCATTTAAAATTTAACAAACGTCATTAAAAATGTAAAAATAACACACCAAGGTCGAAAAATTAAAATTTTAAGCTAAGTTTTGACAAGTTAATGTAACAAAATTGAGATTTCTGCTCTTCCCGGAGTTAAGACGGTTTCTTGCGTTTTTATGAATATCTCCAGGTAAAGAATAGCTATTCACTAGCGAGACTATAATTGGCGGGGTTGCTGGATAAATATCGCACTTTGTTGGTATATCAAAAATGTCTTCTTTTATCTCTTGGAAGGCATGAAAGGAAATCCTATTATGTTCCAGTAACATTATGTGTACCTAGGGAGCATAGGGAGGAGGTAGGTGTTGGATTTTTCTTTCAACTCTTGGAGGTTATGAGTTCGTGGCAATTTTTTTGTGTTCTGGTTCCTACGAAAAGGGATATCTTGTAATGTTCAGAGAACATCGTGAGAACCAAGGAAAATAAGGTAGGAATTGGTGTTCTTCTTAAATTTCTGGAGGTTATATGCTTCGGGGAACACCTCCCTTGGCAATGTGATCCAGAGCCTCGTTATTCGTTGGATGAACAAGCCTTTGGAAGGAGATGTTCTGCAGGTCTTCAAAGTGACCACGAAGGGGTGCAAAGCCTCAGCTCGACGGGTTGATCTCGCGGGGACTGCCAAGGAAGGAACAATAATTGTTGATATTTCAGAAGAGCATCGTCCATGAAAATATCTATAAAATAGAGCCAGATCGCCAACTTTCCTACGGTGTTCCAGAAAAGTGAGTGAGTTTGTGAGCGAGGCATCACCCACGAGATGAATTGTCCTTTTTTGGACAGAATCCAACAGTTTCAGGGTATGTTTGGGTGCTGCACTCCGAATATGGGAACAGTATTCCAGGACAGGTCGGATCTGTGCCTTATAGATCATAAGCAGGGTTGATCTCGCGGGGACTGCCAAGGAAGGAACACTTGTTGATATTTCAGAAGAGCATCGTCCATGAAAATATCTATAAAATAGAGCCAGATCGCCAACTTTTCTACGGTGTTCCAGAGAAGTGAGTGAGTTCTTGAGCGAGGCATCACCCACGAGACGAATGGCCTTTTTTTGGACTGAATTCAACAGTTTCAGGGTATGTTGCGTGCTGCACTCCAAATATGGGAACAGTATACCAGGACAGGTCGGATCTGTGCCTTATAGATCATAAGCAGCTGACTGGAAATGAAATAGCTCCTGGCCCGAATCAGAAAACCAAGTTTTTGGGATGCACTTCTAGCAAATAATTTCAAAGTTTAGCCGTTGTATAGACGAACGAGTTTTGGTAAAGTGTTGCCCACCAACTCAAAGGATCTTCATTTCTTGATATTATTTCTGATTCATTATTCATTTATTATATCTCAGCACCAATAACTACTGAATAATACTCGAAGTGATCTCCACGCCATTTAATATGATCAACAGATCAAATGATTTGGTACATGTTGAGGACATATATATGTTCATCCTCAGCCTTGTCAAAATATTTCATTACGTTTCAAAATAAAAGTGAGTAAATACAAAAAAACTGGATTAATAAAAGAGTGCTTACATGGGGATTTATAATAAACAATGATGGGTTTCATTTAATTTTTGGGGGACCCAACAAACCCGTAAGTGGTAAAAAATATTAAGACAGACAACTGGAGTCCACCACAGGGCGTCACAGCGAACTTTGAAAAACCGTCACCTGACTGGGCCGAAAAGAACACGGACATGTATGTGTCACACGCCACAAGTGGATACAAATGGCAAGTTCCATAAAACATCCAGACAGTGACTATCAGCACCGGCAAGGTCGAGCCTGTCGAGCATATAATAACAGAGAGGAGCAGATATTTTGAGGTGAAACAAAAAAGGTTATAATGCAAACAAAATAGTAGAAAAGTTGAAAATTATTTTTTATGGGTATGGCGAAGAACAAGATAGGAGAAAAAACTAATGGCAGTTTGATTTTTAGTTTGCAAAATTCAGTGTATCGAAAAATGTTTAGCTGTTGTGTTCATCAAAAGGGCATACCCTAAATCTGATAACACCATCTTGTAGAACAGAAAAAGTAGCAATGAGAATGTTTGATTTGTTTTGTTAAATATATTCAAATAGTTAGAACAAAATAAAAATGAAATCTGGAATATTCATAATGTTTGATTTGTTTTGTTAAATCTATTCAAATAGTTAGAACAAAATAAAAAAAGTATAGGGAATTTTTCAAATTTCAGAACGGCATTTTGGTGGTTATAAAATTGCGCAACTTTGCCTCCATTCAACCCTCTCTGTAGCTCTTACCGTTTTCGAGATCCCCGTGCATCTACTAGAATTTCACTCACCCGTTAAATATTTTTGTGATCACAAAAAATCACAGATTCCGAAATAAATATAAAAACAGGGTTAAATTTGAAAAAAAAATTGTAGTTCGTAAAGTTTCAAGGGATCACTCTGTAAAACTTCTGATAAGGGCATAGTTTATTCCCATCTGTACATGGTAGTTTTTTTTTTTTTTTCATGCACCTCATGAACATTTTCAGAAGTTTGCAAGGACACTTCTTGCATTTGTAAAAAACATGTTAAGGTTGGTTTCAGCTAGAGTCCCTGTATATACTTTAGACAAGAGTCCGGACACAACTATACTTCTATCCTTTTCTGTTTTCAAAAAATGCATTGATGATTGAATAAAGGAATAAGACATATATATCGAGCTCTGTCTTTTCAATTCCCCTAGTATCAATAGGTCGCGTGCACGAAGACCGACCCTGGAGGCAAAATATTGAAACACAACCTCATTCTTCTGTGAATTAATAAATCACAACCTCACTTTTTTATTTGGTTACAGAGGAATCAAAAGGTTGAAATAGTTTTTCACAATATTTTGGCATACGAATCGTGTTTCTTGCGTTATTCATTAATTCAAGCATGCCTTCGCATTGTGCTGTTGTACAATGCACAAAAAATGCAGCAAGAGACTAGGGAATATGAGTTTTCAGGTAAATAGTAATCTCACATAGTTAGCATTATGAAATGTTGTCATTCCTTATTAAAATTCCTTCTGCCTTCTGCCACTTCTGCAATACAAGCTAATGCTGCTAATAGATTGAAAATGTCTACAACACACACGATCATCAGCATGTCAGACCAGTCCTACCGATTGATTGCATGAATCCAATCTTCTTGCATTATTCTAGAAATTTCAGGTATATTTCTATTAGCTGATCCTATTGCAGAAGGACTTCCGATGAGAAATCAGAGAAATAACCAAATTTCAAAAATGAAAACTATGTGAGTGACTATAGTAGGTACTTACTTTTGAATCATAATGTACCATCCGGATTTCTTCATCTTCCGCTGCAGTTTATGTGCATTTTACAACAGCACAATATGTGATGGCATTAGCGAATTGATGAATAGCGGAAAAATACGATTCATATGCCAAAATAATTGTGGAAAACTATTTCGATCACTTGTAAACAAATATGTTTTGCCTCCAGGGTCGGTCATCTGACAGTTCTTGCACGCGACCTATGATTGTCAGAAACAATTTTGAGGGTTAGATTATTTGTCAAACCGTTCATAGCCGTAGGTAGAAGTGAGAAATAGGGCTATTTTAACTAGAATAACTATTAGATTTTCAAATAATGAACAACAGGGTGTTCAAATTTCGAATCGATAATTTCCATAATCAATTCCTGAGATGGCTATTGCAAATTTTCGTCATCAGATATTTCTTTCCTTTATTAGATATAAGGAGGATATAAGATAGATAATTCAAGTGTTCTACGTGGTATCACATATATAGCCAAGAAAATATAGTTTTCTGTTGGGATATACAAGAATAGAAGATATATAATTCTTTCAATATAATTCTAATTGTGTCGGTTTCCCACCTCTTCCTGCAGTCTACATTCACCAGTAAATTTTTTAATTTGATCTGAATTAAAAACACCGTGGACTGATGACATAGCACATTGCAATTTCCCCCTAAATCTTCTAGTTTTGATTTCGAACTTTCAATTTCTCTCCGCATCATCTCATTCTCATTTTCTTTCTCTGCGATCGTATCATTCAGTAATTCCCAATACGATGACGACGGAACTCTTTTTTTGAAGAGATTGACGGCACACTAGACTCTTTAAATTTGAAATCCATCAGCTTGAAAGAATCTCTATCAAAATGGGCCTAAAATTCATCTTTTTTGTACTGTTTTTACAAGTGAATTCGAATATTCACCTCACATATTGCGGATTTCTTCAAATTAATTTTCCATTCTGGACGTTTCATTGCATTCTTCCATGAAATTATCTTTAAAGCATCATTCAGAAAATTGAATAACTCGAATCCCTTTTCTAATGAATTATCGCAATAATGTACGCAGCAGGACATTGAAATAATTTAAAATGCACAATTTTGGCGGTCATAAAATTTCAAAGTGACAGTGACAAAAATTCGAAATAATTAAAATAAGTGGGCGAGACGACTATGGTGTTTCGTCACATTGTCAGGTGGGCAAACCAAATGAAACAAAATATTAAAAACCCCAACGGCTGTCAGTTTTGTGTCCGGACTCTTGTCTAAAGTATATACAGGGACTCTAGTTTCGTTTCAGCTACCCTTGAAGAAATATATTCTCCATGGAGTTCTCCATATTGCTAGCAAAATTTAGGTAAATACATCAAGACGTTGACATATAGCGGGAATTTTTAGAAAAACTAATGTATTCCAGTTAAAGTCTCCACACTGTATTTATATAAAAGGTATAGGGTTGCTGTGTCATTTGTTTACATGTCCATGCTATTGTTTACATACCTGATCGTAGGGCTCCATCTTGAACTGCACAGCCGAATCTGATTGACTTTGTACGGCTGGTTCAGTTTTTGTGATGGCAGGAGGGACCTGGGACTCAGATGTGCTTAATCGGGGTCGTTTGATTGAGGGTGTGGTAACGAGGGGGGCAGACTGTTGCTTTTTCGGGCGAGGGGTTGGTTTATATTCTTCGACGTGGGGTTTCTCCATTGGTGTTTCGGTAACATCTGGATCAGTGGATCCCTGAAAATTTCAAAAATAATGTAAATTAACCACAAATGCCGAATTTTGATCGTTTTAGGTATGGAATTCCAGAGGCGTGTGCATGTAGCGAGTGGGTTAGTTAAGTGCAAGAAAATAACACCCAGTGAACTCCTTTCAATTATGTTATTTTTTCTGTGACGGGAAAAAAGTTTGGCATTTCATCTCTGTTGGCAGGTTATAAAATGTCACTTTTCATAAATTACTTTTTTCCCGTGGGAAAAAAGTGAGTACTTTTTTCCCGGATATACAGGGTGTTATTTAAGTACGTGGCCAAACTTGAAGGGGTGATTCTTTGAGTGATTCTAAGACGAAAAGTTCATATAAACAAAGGTCCTGTAATGCTTCGTTTTCAAGATACAGGGTGTCAAAATTTTTGAAAGAAATCGTTTTTTTCGTAAATATCTTAATAACCTTCCAACCGATTTTATTGAAATTTGGCAGTGTTATTCAAGGTCGTAAAGGGCTAATTTAACCCTAACTATATCAAAATTATCATGTCCAGTGGCGTCCCGGAAGGCACTGTAACCAATATTTTTGACAGAAAAAATGTGCGCCACTGATTTATTTGCAATTTTTGTATTTGTTTCACATTGAGCAACTAAAATTACAACTTTTTTATATCTAGAATTTCTTTCGTATCTTGCTTTGTTTTCGAGAAAAAAACATAAAAATCACTTCATCGCTCATCCCTGTGACGAGTCGAAGCCAAGAGCCGAAGGCAAGTGCTGCAATTCATACATACATATTTTTTGTTTTTTCATTGCATTAATTTTGATAGAGAATTCCAAGACTAGAATAGAGTATTAATATGAAAAAAGATTAGTAAGACTCCAGTTTTTGATGGTTTAGTAGTTTTATTGTGTTGTCACAGGGATGTGCAATGAAGTGATTTTTATGTTTTTTCTCAAAAACAAAGCAAGATACGAAAAAAATTCTAGATATAAAAAAGTTGAAATTTTAGTTGCTCAATGTGAAACAAATACAAAAATTGCTAAAAAATCAGTGGCGCACATTTTTTCTGTCAAAAATATTGGTTACAGTGCCTTCCGGGACGCCACTGGACATGATAATTTTGATATAGTTAGGGTTAAATTAGCCCTTTACGACCTTGAATAATACTGCCAAATTTCAATAAAATCGGTTGAAGGGTTATTAAGATATTTACGAAAAAAAAAACGATTTCTTTTAAAAATTTTGACACCCTGTATCTTGAAAACGAAGCATTACCGGACCTATGTTTATATGAACTTTTCGTCTTAGAATCACTCAAAGAATCACCCCTTCAAGTTTGGCCACGTACTTAAATAACACCCTGTATATCACATAATATATATACTCTGTTGATGGCTTTTGTTGTGCTTTAGTTCCGAAAAATGAGTCAATAATACCGTCTCCGAGAAAGAACTGCAAATCCTTTTATCTTCCATTCGACTTCGCGGTTTCGTATATTACTAAACAACTACTGAATTCGCAATTTTTTAAAATCAAATCACAGAATTGAACTGACAGAAGTGACATCAGATATTTGATTACTTCAAAAGAATGATAAAGATGCCTATAAAACGCAGGTGTCCCTACTGTTAAAAACTTGAAATTTCACGTCGATAATTTTCAGATTTCGAAATAACGTAATATCTTCTCAATATTGATTCGTCCTTCCTTTTGTCACAGAAAAAAATAGTGTATTATACACGGGAAAAATAGTAGATTTTAGCTCACGGTTTTTTGTCTCCCTCCGCTACGCGTCGGGAGACAACACAACCTGGAGCTAAAATCTACTACTTTTTTCCCTTGTATAATAAATAACTATTTAGATAAAACAATTGAAAACATAACTTTATATTTTCCTGAATAGTTTCCTATATTAATTTATGGTTGATAACAAAAAGAATTGGGTTCAAGAGAACAAGAAAAAATTATTCAACAAAAAAAAAAGAAAAGAAATCAAGAGACCATAATATCATATAAAAGTATAAGTGGATATTTGCTCTATTTCGCGCGTTTCAAAGACCTGTATCCATGAATACTTTGTAATTTTTTTTTTGTTGATACACTGATAAATATGGAAATAACAACTACAAATAATAATGTAAAATGTTTGATTGAACTTTTGTCAGTGATATTTTATTTGAAGTTACATGCCTGTCAGATCGACGGTTAAAACGTTGATCATTCATACTACAAGTTGCCGTGGTGACTTCGTTAAAAAACGCGCGTTTTTGAAAGTTGTAATTGAACACGCTGTGGCGTTCTTTAAATGAGCAGAATAGGGTACCAATGAAAAATTAGTTATATCGCCAATTGGTTTATCTATGAAAATTAAAAACCTGAAAAAATCTAATGGGTGTAATTTTTAGGCAAATATCATAATCTAGGATTCAGAGGAATAGTTTGACTTTATTATAGGATTATTTGGTGATGTTCAAAAGTAATATATGGGATCAGAATTACGTCCACTAAAGAATCATCAATTTTTACAATCAGTAAAATGTTCATCATTTCCCATTCATGTAATTTCACAAATTATTCCAATCAGTTGGAAATTTTTCATAAACTCGGATTTGGAATTGGATTTGTGAAAATGAAAAATGCAGTGGCACCACCAATAATGAATATATTATCATATTATGTAGGTTGAGGTGAAATATTCTCATCTCTAGATTTTTGGGACTTTCTCTAATAGCATTATATCAATAAACCTGCTTAAGGACAAATCAGATTAGAACCTAGTCAGAAACCTGAGAGAAACATTCAGTGACACCTTGTCTGAAGGGTTTAATATCAAAAATATGAAGATAAGTGAAATTATATTGTTCACAAAAATCCTTTGAAGTATTTCAATGGGCAGAAAACATAAAATTAACCAGTGTTAATCTAAATATTGCCTGTAGGATAATCAAGAAGGTGGAACATTCAATTCAAAAAATAAATTATCCTTGAATTAAACTGAAAAAAATTATCTAAGAATAAAAACATCCAAACTGGATGCAAAGATGTCCGCAAAATGCTCAATATGCGAGAAGCCGCGTGTTGTCATCCCCCCACCATGGTGAGGTTGGGCTTTAGGGGAGAAGGAAAAAAGAAGAACTGACAAAGAGAGGCTGATATAAAAGATTGAAAACTGAAAGGTGAAGAGGATAACATCTTGTTGAAGAACAATGAGTATCCGGCTGGTGTACCACGGGATTGCCATTTCCGTACTCAAGCCATGAGCCCCTGAGTCCATGTTTACTATTATACAAAGTGTAATAGTTTTCCAGAAATACATGCCTATACAGGGTGTTCCTTAATGATATGCTAATATTCAAGGGGCTGATTTTTCGACCCATTTCAAGAAAAAAACTTTACATGAACATATGTCGTAAACGTCCTAACGTTTGAGATACAGGGTGTCAATGTTGAAAATATGGATAGATTATTTTTATTGTCCACCCTGTATAGCTTTTCGTGATGGCAAAATTCAGTCTGCTATGTGACTGAATCGATATACAAATGTAGAAATGTTACATATGGTGGTTATCCAGTAATGGATGTCCTGAATCAAAATTTGAAGTCTGGTCTCGTTTTTTCGTTTTTTCTCGAAAACGAAGCGGTCTATCGAGTATCAACAAGAGGATCTTTTTTGTACATAATTAAATAGCCTTTCATAGCATTGTATGGAATTTGGAAATTTTTGTTCGTTGCTCACTTTTAGGTAAGATATAAACAATAATTGTCCTGTAACGGTGGCACTGGTAGAGAAAATGGAATTTTCTATACATCAGAAAATGCAACTTGATGCATAAAAGACGTGTACCAAATTTCGAAAAGATGTATGCAATATTGTCTTGGTTATCATCAAAAAACTGAATATTTTTCAAAACTTCATCACTCTGTGTCTCAAAAGTTAAGACTTTTAGGACATCGTTCATATGAAGTTTTCTTCTTGAAATGAGTCAGAGAATCGCCCCCTCAAATATTACACAGGGTGAGTCAACAGTGGGTTCTCCTTCGATATTGGACAAACCGTCAGATTTATAGAAAAAATTCAAATTTATAGAGTTTCATGAGAACTACCACCTAAAATTATTTTCATATCTATAGGGTGTTCGAATTCCGATATATCGGCTGATAATGAGTTTTATCTAATGGGACACCCTGTATATTATTGCATTTTTAGAGTTTCTCTTAAGAGCTGATTACATCAATACATACACTTGGGGCTTGGGGCCAAACGGGAATGATTACGAAGGTATAGGATATTCAAAATCGAGATTTTTCAACTTTAGAATTTTTTTGTGTTGAAACTATTAATTATTGGTCAAAACGGCATTCATGTCCCTATCTCAGCTTTCGATTTAATTGGACAGATACAGGGTGATCAGTATTCTTGAATCTTGAAACTCTCTGTATTTATTCCAATTAAATGTCAGTAGTATATCATATCTCTCGTATCTCTTCATTAACAAAATTAAAAAAGGGAAGGTCTATAATCTATATTAGTCGTGGACCTTTTTTTATGTACAGGGTGGGCAAAATTGGGCGTTTTCACCGTCTATCTCAATAACTAGAGGAGTTATCGAAAAGCCGATATACATATTCCGGGTTCGATTTTGGAGAAACCTCGAATGGTTTAATTAAAATTTCGATATCTTCATTCGTTTTAGAGATACAGGGTGAAATTGAAAATTTGTCGATTTCGATTTTATTTTCCGACTACTTTACGGTGAGAGGTATCAAAAAATTTCAAACGTATATTCATACAGTATGATGCGTGGAATCCATTGGCATCATCAGAAATTTTATACAGGGTGACGTTGAGAAGACGTATCTTCTGTAAAAATAATTGAGGTAGGATTCAAAAATTCGCAACTGTCAGAAAGATACAAATGATACATTCATGGAGTCATGGACCAAGTGGGATCATCTCCAATGATAACACTGCTCGCCAGCAGCTATGGAATCATCGATATTTCTGGATAATGCTATCAACAGGCAGA